TGACCGCGGGGTCCCCGCAGGCTCTCACACCATCCAGCGTATGTCCGGCTGTGAAGTGGGGTCGGACGGGCGTCTCCTCCGCGGATACTATCAGTACGCCTACAACGGCCGCGATTACCTCGCCCTGAACGACGACCTGACGACGTGGACGGCGGCGGACGCGGCAGCGCAGATCTTCCGGCGCAAGTTCCAGCAGGCTGATGAGGCAGAGGGATGGAGGGCCTACCTGGAGGGCGAGTGCGTGGAGTGCCTGCACAGATACCTGGAGATCGGGAAGGACGCGCTGCTGCGCACAGGTGCAGGGCCGCGGGCAGCTCCTCCCTCTGCCCTCGGGCTGGGCTCAGTCCTGGGGAAGAAGAAACCCCTCAGCTGGGGTCATGCCCCTGTCTCAGGGCAGACAGTGTCCCTGGGTCTCCTGATCCAGCAGGGCAGGGACCGCACTGATCCCCAGGCTCAGCCTTCTCCCTGGACAGCTGCAAATCTGTCTCAGAGGAGGGAGAGGAGATCCCGACCTAACCACAGTGGCTCCTGCAGTCTGCAGCCGCTGTCAGTCATGGCCTCTCCAGGCCGGGGTCTGTGCCCACACCAGGGTCTGTGGAAACTGAATCCTGTCATCTGAGTGTGTCAGCCATACACACCAGTACCGGAAGTCTCCTTTACCTGATAGGAGACTACCCTAGGCTGGTTCCACAGTTTCTAGAACTTTCCAAAGATACTTTCTCTCAGATTCCTGTGGGTGAGGTTGCATCCCTCACACCCCAATTACGTCTATTCCCAGAATGGCCACGTGAGCCCTTATGGGGTGCCCTGGTGAATACTAAATTGTGGGGGGCTTTTTCTTTTTTTTCTTCCTTCCTTTTTTTTTTTAAGTTGTCATTTTGCTTTTAGTCAGGTTTTTTTTTCCCCTCACTGGGGTGATACTGTGTCCCCCCCCCCCACCCCGGTGTTATCATCTCTTTCAGTCTCCACAGGAGCCGGGGGTGGGGGGTGGAGCAGACACAACTCTGTTAATCTGGATACTTAGACAAGTCAGTGTTTCCTTTACACTAGAAAGGCTCCTGTGAGCTTAGACTGTTTCCTGCCATATGAACATCCAGAGCCCTCCTGCTCTCCCTCAGTCCCAACAAGTCACAGTGTTGCCCCAGTGGATTAGGAATTGAACTTCCTCAGAGACAGGGTCTTCTGCAGCTCCAGGACTGGAGTGACAGGGACGATCCACACACCCCTGTGAGCACCGCTGTGTCCAAGGGAGTGCTGCCCTGGGCTCCACAGCACACTTCCAGGGGTCCTGGTGACAATACCTTGTGTCTTGTCCCCCAGAGGCAGGACTTGGGGACTCATTTTCTCTGGGTGAGTGTCAGAGGTTCACCACAATTCTGCTGTACACTTTGGTGATGGCTGTTCACTGGACAGAGTGTTATGCTGGTCAGCAAGATGGCCACAGTGGTTGTGCCTCAGTGGTGGCAGCAGGAGTTGGTGGCACCCTTCATGTAGCCCTTGTACTTGATTTCTTATTTTGATATCAATTAATAACATAAATTAATTATTTTCCATTCCTTCTATTCTTTTACCACCTAACTAATGCTGTAGAACATCACATGAGGAAGACCATGCTGACCTGCTGGCTCACGTGGATTCCCTCTTAGCTACTGAGTCCCACAGGAAAATGTGCAGTTCTGTGATGAGGGGACCAGCTCTACCTGAGGTCACTAGTGTGGTGACAGAATTTTCCAAACAGACACAGTTTAGTGTCAGCATTGGTTTAACTTTGTCTTTGCAGATATCCGTTTATCATGTTAATTGTGGGATTTCTTAAATTTTCCACACAGATCCCCCAAAGGCACATGTGACCCATCACCCCACACTGAAAGGAGAGGGCACCCTGAGGTGCTGGGCCCTGGGCTTCTACCCTGCTGAGATCTCCATGACCTGGCAGAGGGATGGGGAGGAACAGACTCAGGACATGGAGCTGGTGGAGACCAGACCTTCTGGGGATGGAACCTTCCAGAAGTGGGCAGCTGTGGTGGTGCCTTCCGGGGAGGAGCAGAGATACACATGCCATGTGGTCCATGAGGGGCTGACACAACCCCTCACCCTGAGATGGGGTAAGGAGGGTGTGGGTGCAGAGCTGTGGTCAGGGGAAGCTGGAGCCCTCTGAAGACCCTGAGCAGGGTCAGGGCTGACAACTGGGGTCATGACCCCCGACTTCCCCTCCTGTCCTTCCCTTCCAGAGCCTCCTCAGTCCACTGTCCCCATATGGGCAATCATTGCTGTTCTGGTTCTCCTTGGAGCTGTGATCATCATTGTGGTGGTTGTTGTGAGGTGCAGGAGGTGAAACACAGGTAGGAAAGGGCAGGTCTGGTTCTCTCCCAGCCCCTTTTAGAAGTGTGCTCTGCCTCACTAATGGGAAACATCCACACCCCTCATTGCTCCTGTCTCTGACCTGAGTCTGCTGTCAGTTCTGGAAACTTCCTAGGGTCGGGGTCTTCCCTGGTCTCTCACAGCTTTTCTCCTCACAGGTGGAAAAGGAGGGAACTATACTCCAGCTTCAGGTAAGTGTGGGGAGTGGGATTGTCCCTGAGGCCCTTGGGGTAAAGCTGGAGTATTTGGGGAGCTCTGCCAACCCATAATACCTCCTCCAGTGAAGTCTTCTAGAGGCCATGTTTTCACCTTCCTGTGTCTATATATAATTTTACCCTAGGCAGGGACAGTGCCCAGAGCTCTGATGTGTCTCTCCCAGGCTGTGAAGGTGACACTCTGGGGACTGATTTGGGGAGGGAAAGTGGACCTGATTGGGTTGCAGGGACTTCCAGAATCCCCTCTGAGTGAGTGGTGGGTGTTGGGATGTTGTCTTCACAGTGATTGTTCATGACTCTTGTTTGTAGCGTGAAGACAGCTGCCTGTCCTGACAGAGTGACAGAGATGTGCTCAGGTCTCTGCTGTGATGTCCTGAGCCCCTCAGTTCACTCTCAGCAACAGTGTCTGATGTTCCCTGTGACCCTGTGGGCTCAATGTGAAGAACTGGGGAGCCCAGGCCCCCTGCACACCAGGACCCTGTCCCTGCACTGCCTGTGTTCCCTTCCACTGTGGTGGTAATCTAATTGTACTGAAATGTGATTTTGAATGTATGTTAACAAATAAAGTTGCCCGGGGGTCAGAGCTATTAGAGCCATAGCAAGAGTGTGGCGGTGGTGGCACACGCCTTTAATCCCATAGATCTCTATGTGTTCAGGGATACAGCCAGCATTGGAGACATATGCCTTTAAGACCTAGGGGGCTGTACATTCAGACAGTGACAAGGCAGTCACGTGTTTGG